AGACAGACTAGTTAAAAGTTTGATGTGAACCAGTCAATTATAACTAGATAAATGCTCAAGTCACTTAAAGTTAAGTGACTTAACCTTCTGGATACCAGATTCTTTTGTAGTGCAAACCCTTGAATACCGGATTCTTTTGCAGTGTAACTAGGTTTTTTTTGCGTTTTTTGAGTATACGTCGTTCTGGTGGATTTTTGGGAACTTTCTGTAAATTATACAGAAAAATGTTTCTAAAAACAAAGAAAGCTTATAGAATAAACTTTCATTTGATGTATAATTTATATTTTTAGGATTTTTTTTCATAATATAATATATATATATAATATAATAGAAATGACAGAAAAATGCTACATATAAATCGTCAGCAAAAACAAAAACAAAAAAAAATTATAGCCAAAAAAAAAAAATAAAAACAAATATAAAACATTCCTATTCCACACAGTTATTATAATTTATTTACCCAACCATCCATAACTATAAGCACGATCTTTCCATTCAAAAGCAACGACCACCCTCACATTTCTAGGCCTAGGCTCATCTTCATCAAGAACATCTCCGCCGTCAGAACTGCTTGAAGCCCCACCGTCATCATCGCTATCAGGCACGTCTAAGTCTCGCACATCTAAAAACTCACTTTCATTGCTGTCTGAATAAAAAATCAGGTCAATCGCTTCCTCAACTGTGTACACATCTTGTGCGGCCATTTCGGAAAATTTTCGAAATTAATAACGATTTCAAATTTATATTTCTAAACATTTTTATATAAGCGCATGTGAGTTCTTCACAGATTTCGAAAGAAGAAAACTTCACGCATGCGTGTTCAAAATTTCTGACGTATTGGAGCTAAAATAAAAACAGAAGAGCGATTTGAAAACCACCTATTTTTTAGTCACTAAATTTCGACTGTACAGTCGAAAATAGGAATTCTCGGTTTGAGGTCAGTCGAAGACGGTATCTAGAGGGTTGAATTCACTAGAATAACGGTAAATTAACTTGCTTAACGGTAAAGTCGGCTCGGATAACAATTACGTAACATAGCATCTTAACCATCGTTGTTGTGTTGTACCACCATTATCATCCTCTGGCTACCAACAACTTACTCTAACAATGCTAACACCAGCTAAAGTAGTCTCATTATGGTTTTCAGAAATTATTTGTAATATCATGGGTAAAAACCCAGCAAACGTCCATTTTACGAATAGTCGATATGACCAATGACCTTTGCATCATCGACAAGCAATAACGTTAAAAAGTCAGATGGCGTACATTTTTTCAAAGTGATAATGTATATTTTTCTTAATAATAAAATTAGATTTGTTGTATTTATTTATTGACAATTCAATCTTTCCCATTTCTGCTATAATAGTCGCTATTAATTCAGTTTCAACAAACTACCACCAACGGCAGTCGTTAAAATGAGCGCACATGTTTACGATGACGAAACAAAAAAGTGTGGAAGTCAGCAACGTATTAGACACCGCGAAGCTAGAATTTCGCGAAGTGCGTGTAAACAACACATTAATCCAGCTATCTAAAAACTGCAAAAACAAAAATAAAAACAAAAAAAAAACAAAAAAACACAACAGAAAGGTCCATAAAGTATGCAGACGTTTTAATGAGAAATAAAACAATAAATATAATATATATAATATTTTGTTAAATGGGAGAATGCTAGCGAAATTAATTTGGTTTTTATCAAAGGTAATTTAGCTAGGGCCTAGTATATAGCATACTATTGCGGTAGACCATGCGCTGCTGCACTGTCGGTTGGTTCGTACTATATATCAATGGTAGAGGATAGCTAGGCTAGGTAGTGGAAACTGACACCAGACATACAGTAATTTACGAATTTGTCAATTTTTTATTACGAATACCCCTTGGTACTAGGGGTAAAATACAGTAGACGTTATTTTAAAACAAGCCTTTCCACCGTGTGACATCGACGGCCGCGAAGCTGGCTGGCTTTGTTTATCTGGCTCTATCTTGGCATCGAACGCAACTAGGGATAAATCGTATCACATTTCAAGATCTATACAGTAGATAAGTGGCTTAACTTCGCAGTGAACCAGGCTACAGTAGTATCTTTAGACCTATCAAATGTGACAAGCCAAACCAGTCACTCGTCGCAAATTGTGTTTCAG